AAAAAAAAAAAAAAAAAAATCAGAAGAATTTTTGCTTTTTGAAAATATAATCCCTTTTTTTCCTTCAAAGATAATCCTCTTAAGGCTGATAATTTGACAACTTCAAGCATTTGATTTTTAGGACACATCTGCAGGAATATTCTTCAAATTGGCACAGTGGTGGAGAGTGCTTTCCTTCTGTTGAAAACCACAGTGTGATGACACATCCCAATCACACGTGGCATTGCCAAGGCTCCGGATTTCCAGAACATGGGCCATTGTCGAGACACTCACTGCTTTGAGCTCATGCAGCCTTCCTCTACTCTGGGTTTGAGTCTGGGCTTCCGGGCCGAATAGCCAAATAGGATCAAACCAGTTGGAGGAGCCTACTCGAGGGTCCCAACCATCTGGAGACAGCATTCACTAAAGAAAGTCTTATGTGTTAGAGAATGTATTCTCTTGCTCCAGGGAGATCCACAGTATGGACAGAGGACAAAAGATTCCTATATAAACTTGGAGGATAATATACGTAGAAGATACTTCCATTTACTATTTTTCTAATAATTACATACTACTTCCAATAGAGATAACCAGGCTTCATAGCCTGCTTCCTGTCTCTGCTGCCCAATTCTTACCTACTTTGTGCTAAATACTGTGTTAGGCACTGGGGATAAAATATTCCATAAAACATAGACTCTACATTCAAAGAGGTTGTATAAAATACTTCAAATCTAAAAGATGTACAGATTTTATACTTAAATGTTCACAGCACGAGTTTTGCCTAATTTTAGCTGTGTCTTTTTTTTTTCCTGTGTGTAATTTCAGTGGTTGTTTTTTTTTTTAAAGTTGTCATCTTTTTAACCAGTTGATTAAAATAGATTACTATCATAGTGAGTAGTATCCACGATTAGGTATAATCAGAGTATATATAGTCAAGTGAGATATTCTCTATAGATATGGAACAAATCCAAAATTTTCTACTTGGTCAAGAGTTTCATTATCTCATCTGAAACAAATTAAATCCCATTGTTGTGTGTTAATTCAGCAAATATTCACTGAGCACCTACTCTGTGCCAGACATAACAGGGCTAACACAATGAACAGGACACCCCCTAATCCCAGCTCCCCAGGAACTTGTGATTGGTGCGTTGTGGGTGGGTCCATGGCAGACAACATCGGGACACTTCACTACAGCGTCTTCTGGTGCCCAAGGTGGGCAACCTAAGGCCAATGGTTGTGTGGAATTTTTATTAGAAAAGGAATGGATGGCAAGACTTCTCCCCAAAGAGGACTTTTATAAAGAATTCATGGTAAGAGGTGAAAGAGGTAAGATTTAAATAGAGGAAATGACTAAGCAGCTTAGAGAAGGAGATTTGTAGAGGGACAAAAGGCAGAGCAAGAATTAGGTACTTTTTTCTCCCCCTGTCATACAGGACAGTATCTGGGAACTGCAGACAGTTTTTAAGAAGCATTAATTTTAAGAAAGGGAGAAAGGAGCAGAATAAAAAAAATGGGCAGGTTTTCAGAGAATTGAGGTCAAGGAGGAGAGTTGAAATGATATTAAATGTGTGTGTGTAGATTTAGAAATCAACAGTCAATAAATATTTACTGGGCTCAGAACGTCATGCTAAGTCGTGTGTGTATTAGAAACATTGGTCATGAGGCTTTACTACATTTTGTGATCCTGGGTTCCTCTGCCTCTCAGATTCACCTTGCTAACCTAAACCATTTAAGTTTTATCGATGCTCAATGAGGGTCCACTGGTGGTGAATGATACCCTTTGAAATAAGAAATGATGCAGCCTAAAACCTTGAAATTGGGCACCTCTCTCCTGGCTTATCCACAACCCAAAGAAACTTTGTTGTCAACTTAGAAAGCTAAACATTTAAATAAATATGAACACCTGAATGGATAAGTATGAACATCTGAATAAATATGAACATCTGATGATACCTTTATATTGCTCAAACTTCCAGGAATCAGCAAGCAAATGTTAATTGATAATTAGAAATGGTATCTAAAACAAGTTAGCTGGAATAGTATGAGAGAGACGAAAGTGGTAGATATATCAAAGGAAACCCATTTTCTAAAAAAATAATTTAGAAGTTTGCTTTCCGAGGAGGAAATTATCTATAATCAATAATATTCATTGTTCAGGGACTTCTGATTTATTTTCATGCTCTGCATAATGCAGTAATGTTAGGCCACACAAATGTCCTATTGCAGTTACTATTCTTCATTTGCTTAGGAATCAAATAGGGCAAGAGAGTCCAGCTTTCAGGATCTAAACGTTTTCTAAGCAAAACCAAAACAAAACAAATGCATACTCTTCAAAGAAATCACGTGCCTCCCCCTCATGTGCAGGCTAATATGGAAGTGAGAAAACTGATCATTTTGGTTCCCATGTCCCTGGACCGCAGGTATAGATGGCTATCAATACACAGCATTTCTTTATTATTGTTCTACACTTTTCTATGCAAATTTTCTTCTTCTTAATTTTACTAATGGGCCACAATACACTTTAGGCAGTTCTTCATGACATTTTCGCTATCATTTCCCAAGGCAGCAGCAAATAAAACAGGATGGTCATCACTTTATCCCTCGAGACCATCATCTACCTCCCTAATGCAAGTATTCCCTCTCAGAGAGCGCCTTACGTTTCCTGAATTGCATTCGTGCGGTGTGGCTTTCGTTACCCAAGCCAGAGAAGGCAGTCTAAGACTAACCTACCCTAATAACTCTCTGAAGAACACTGACGCACGGCACAGATATCCAGATGGACAGTACCTAGATGTCTTTGAAACTGCTCTTAGTCCCTGCTGTTTGCCCTGGAGTTAATTCACGATGGAGGTTTAATAAAGGGTTCTACTGGGTGTTTGGCACTCAACTTAGGGAAGTTCATGTGTACATGTGCTCACATTTCAGGTAATTAAGAGAAAAACCTTACTTTCTTCTGAGTTTGGCAATGGATTAGTATGGCTCTACCTATAGACTAACCAAATAGATCATGTGCTGACCTGGTATCATTTTTACAGGGTTCTAATTGTTCCCTCTTTGAGCTGTGAAAGACGTAGGCTGCACACAGCTCTGATTTCAACGGCACTTAGAAGGATTAACAACCACAAATAGATGACAGTATTATAGGAAAACAAATCTGCATTAGACAGAGCAACATTTATGGGGCTTGTAGGTAACTGTTGTCATAAAACTGAAAAAGGCAGCAGAGTCCCAGGGAAAATGTGAAAGTGTCCTGGACACCAGGGCGCTAGTTGTAGTTCCATCACTGACAGTTTAACAACTGTGCCTCAGTTTCTCCATCTAAAAGATGGGAGAGAAGAATAGTTGCCTTGGTATTTGCGTCCCAGAAATACGTATAATTTGGTGAAATAATACATGAGAAGTGTACTCAATTATGGGAAGCTTAAATGTTCTGCTTCAACTCAGTAATTTAAAGTCAATTTTATAAAGGTTTTAAGCTGTACATTTTCAGAAGAATCCACTCCATAAAAATTGCCCAACATATAACACATTGTAAAATACTGTACACCATGGCTCCACTGGAAATAAGAGACTGAAACACTAAGGGCAACAGCATATGGTCAGGGAGATCGAGAGCCTCACTTCCAGCCTTACTTCCAGCACTTATGTACGAATTCCACAATATTTGGCATATAGTTTTGATTGAAATTTTATGTTGTATCTCAAAGTAGATTTCATCAGTTCCCATCTTGGCAAATAAATCCAAGAGTTAAGTTATTAAAATGTAAACCTGCATTTAAAAAAACACACTCCATAAATGCAAAAGTAAATGACTCAGATAAGAAAACAGTCTTTCTCTTATTTGATGCTCACATATGGCTTAAGCAAGGATTTGTACAGACTGAACCACAGGATATTGCCTAATGGCTATTTCACATGTTTAAACTAACTTAAAGATTGAGAGGAAATGGTGAGCAGACCTCCAGTCACATTAGATTGAAAGAGTCAGATGAAGGACAGCTTGAACCCAGCCCCTTAAAGTCTAGATCTTCTCAAGGCTCAGATATTGAACTATCTCAAAGACCTGATGGTGTCTGCCAAAACTGAACTGAGGGTTGCTAGAAGGGATGACAGAGCATCTAGTCTCTCTCTTTCTTTAACATATTCTGTTTTAGGTAAACACTATTCTGTTTTAGGTAAACAGTTAAGCTGAGTCAACTACAGGGGTAATCAGGAACTTTACATCCATGTGGATGGAGTTTACTACATGACCCTTGGCTAATCTGTGCTCTACCTTCCAAGACTGTGGTGACAACCTCACTGAGGTTAGATGACCTGAGCATCCCAAGGAGGAATGAATTAAGCAAAATTATTTTCCTTACACTGAAATTCCAATAAACCACCTGAACCCAACAATCTTACCTGCTGATTTGATCTGATATCACTGAAATTCACTTTTTTCCCCAGGTCTAGAATCACTGCATTCTTAGCTTCGCGAATGTAATCATCATTCACTGGCTGGGGAGACTTTGTATTTTTCTTCATTAGTCCCTGGGATGGCCTGTAAAATAAATTCACACCTGACACACCCATGAAAAGCACTGGTCAGTGTAGAAAGGCCTAGAAATCAGTGGTTGAAGTGGCAACCAGACACCAGGAGTCACCAGGCACTTGTGGAGGGTCTGTTGTGTACAAAAATTGAGCACTGCATAGCAAATCTGTGTTTGTCGAGGTGTTTTCAATATTTTAATTACTAAATATTATTTCAAGTGATATGCCCTTTGTCCTATGGTGTTCGATATCCATTTTGTGTCTAATGGACATCTTGTACATGAAGAAATCTCGATGACACTTACGTGGACGGTGCACTTCTAGGCAGCCCCATGGCATTGGTGGGTGGGATGGCGGGAAGAGAAGGCAGGACGGAGCTGAGGAAAGCCACTGGATTCTGAATCCGGCTGGTGGGAGAGACAGGAGCTGGGGACACACAGCGGGGCTGGAACTGGTTTCCGCTGGAGATGGAAAATGTGAATGGCGGTTGTGCTGGCTCTATTGGACCTGGAGCGGGGGGCTCGTGTTGGACGGAAGCTCCTCCTAGGGATTTGGTTTGCAAGAAGGGGTGGGAAACTAAGAGGCTCTCTTTGCTCACTGTCCTCTGAATGGTTTGAGGAGCGCTGCTCAGGGTGAACACTGGAGAGCTGGAAGGCGACGAGGCTGCCGGGGTGGTGCTCGTGGAGGGGAAGAAATGCTTCGGCCGGGCCAAGCTGAACGTCTGCGAGGCGGGGGCCTTCACGTGCCTGCTGGACGTCATCCCAGCTGCGGGAGCGGTGGAGTTCAAAGCACTCATGTTGAACGGAAACTCCTTAGGAGATGAAGGAGACGGGTTCTGCAGCTGCTGTTGTTCCAGTAAGACTTGGTTGTGAAGCTGTTGGAGCTGACTGGAGTCGCTGCACAAGGAAACAAGAGTGGGGAGAGAGAAGGGAAACGTCACCACCAGCACCACCCGTCAGAACACCTAGACAGGCTGTTTGCAACTTTATGCTGATTAGAAGCACACACCAACTCTCCCGAAATCAGCTAATCAAGAGCTTGCGAGCTGTTTCTCCTTCTTTCTAAATCTGTTTTGTTGTCTGTAAGAAGGAAGAAGGCCAGTCCATATGTAACTCCAAGGCATTTGTGTGGTGACCCTGGAGTGTGCAACACAGTGGCCCATTTTAATGTTTACAAGTTGAAAAAAGAAACAATGGTCTTCTCGTTGGGAGTGCTCACAGCTGTGGGAGGAACAGATTGTATTTCAGCTGGAAGCACGGGGCTGTCTATGCTGGTGTGAGTTGCTGCAGGGGCTGAATTCTCCAAGCCAGCCTGCTGTGCTCCTCACTGTGTCTCATGTGACAGCAAACCTCCGCAAAGCGGCTGGATGTGTCTCACTGTGTCTCTCCTCTCCTGACAGCAAAGCTGTATAGAAAAGGTGACCGACCATATGCCCCGATACATCCTAGACTGTCCCGGTTTACACTTGTTTTCCTAGCATAATTATTAAGTTTCTTTCGGTCTAAAAAATGTCATGATTTAAATGATAAATTATATGGTCCCCTCTAATCATAAACATTGCCGTAGACTTTTTTTGTTTCTAAACAGAAAAAGGAAGTCAAACTGGGAGCAGTTCCTTCATTTATAGGAACCTGAGTCACAGATGCTAGACATGATTTGCCTTAAGTCCCACAGTCTATTTAATCTCTTTTAGTAAACCAATTATTTTTAAATAATAGAAATGTCTAAGAGTCATATATGCAGAACATTGCTGGGCTGTCAACCTTTGCTGTTTAGAGAATCTATTCTTAAGTGAGTGACCACAGGAAGACCCACAGGTGAGACTGCAGTGCCCCAAGGCCACGTGGTTTTTTATGTTCTTTGGAAACACAGAGGGTGATCTGTCGAATATGAGATCTATTAATGCAAGGTTTTGAGGAGGAAACAAGATGGCGCATTGGTAACAGCTGCACCTGCCGCCTCCCGCAACCACATCAAAATGACAACTAAAATATAGAACCACCGTCACTCAGAGCCTCCTGAGATCTGGCTGAACAGAAGCCCCACAACCAGGGATCTGAAGAAGCATGGGGAGTGGTAGAAGGGGCGGAGATGCGGTGGATCGGGGCTGAATCATGGAGACAGGGCCACAGGCCCACACCTGGTGCCACAGGGTAAGCCCGGGAGGGAATCTCGGCGGTGGGGGTTTCCCGGAGTGAGGGGCCCCAACCTCACAGCAGGCCCCCAGCTCAGGGCTCCAGGGCCGGGAAGAGACGCCCCCACAACTCCGGGCTGTGAAACCAGCGGGGACTGTCACTGAGGGTCACTGAGGCTGCGGGAGCCCCAGGCTCTCCTCTTAAAGGGCCCGCGCACGGACTCACTCGGACGCTCCCTCTGAGCCCAGCGCCGGGCAGCAGCTTGAAAGGACCCGGGACACTCGGGGAGGAACTAACCTGCCTGAAGTTGGGGCAAGAGCTGGAGGGGCAGCTTCCTCCCAGGCAGAAGGGCTGGCGGAGGCCATGGCTCCTTTGGCAAGTCCACCCGCACACAGCCGGCAGGCAGGCGCCATATTTGAATCGCCAGCACCTCACACCTTTGGCCCCGCCCCGTGATTCCCGGAGGCCCCGCCCCTCCCCACCTGCAGCTCATCCAGGCCATTTCCAGGGGCTTTTCTGTGCAAGTGGCCTCTCGAGCCTCATGCTTAGGACTTTCCTAAAATCTCTCAAACAAGCAGCAGC